AAAATATTGTCAGACATAATGCCGGGAGACAAGCTGCTCAGGTTGGAAAGCACTCATGATATGACTGGGGAAGAGCTGCCTTCTCAAAGTAGAGCTGGCCATGAAGACAAGAATGGAATAAAGCTTCTGAGACCTTCATTAGCTACTGGGGCACAACTCAAAATGAAGAATAGTAACTGTAAACATCCATTAATAATTGGAACATGGAAAGTATGAACTATGAGTCTAGAAAATATGAAGTTGTCAAAAATTAAATGGGATGTATAAAACTTGGGCTGAAATGGATCGGTGTTGACAATTTTGCATCTGATAATCATATGGTTTACTATGTCAGGAATGACAATTTCTGGAATAATGGCACCACATTCATCATCAAAAGAATATTTCAAGATCTAGCTGGAAATACAATGCTGTCTGTGAAATGATAACATCTACATGTCAGTTAGTGACATTACTGAAATTTACACACCAACCACTAAAGCAAGTGTTCATGAAATTGATTAATTCTATCAACATATGCAGTCTGAAATTAATCAAACATGTAATCAAGATGTATTGATCATTACTGGTGATTGGAATGCAAATGTTGGAAACAAAGAAGAAGGATCAGTAGTTAGAAAATATGGTCTTGGTGATAGAAATAATGCTGGATATCAGAAGAGACCAGTCACTGGAGACGCATATTGTGTTTGTTAAAGTGGAGGGTCAGAGAGAAAATGGAACCTCCAACAAGATGCATTGGCACAGTGATGCCAGTGATGGCCTCAAGGGTAACAATGACTGTGAGGCTGACCTAGGACAGGGCAGTATTTCATTCTGTTGTGCATGGGTTCACTATGAGTCAGTATTGACTCGATCTAACAACAACCACAATACACTGAATGTCAATGTGTTAAATGCACCAGTCAAGAGAGAGAATAGCAGAATGGATAAGAAAAGAATATCTTTCAACTAGAGAAATATTAAAAAATATAAAATAAAAAAGTTTGTTTTTTTTTGATAAAGGAAACAACTGTAAATTGCTGCAATTTGATTAATTGGACCTTAACTTATGGCTATAGTAGTTAAAATACCAACTGAGAGGGAAGGAGTCTTCATATCAAGTATCAATCCCATCCCCTCTGTATACAGGGTTGATAGGGACTTTCTGCTTCTGTAAAGTTTTACAGCCTCGGAAACCCACTACAGGGTTGCTATGAGGCAGATCCAAATCCGGGGCACAAAACCACAACCACCAGGATGGCTCAACTTAGACATTGGCTACCTAAAATGGAGTGGGGGTGCTATAAAGGCATGAAATGACTGACTTACAAGTTTTCAAGAGGGAATTTAGTTTCAGAGTATTGGGAGAAAGGTAGAATTCCCAGTGATTAGTTTTCACCTTGTCTAGATGGGTCTGGTAAAAGCAGATGGGAATAAGATTCTTATGACTGAATAGTGAGTAATTGTTATAATGACTAATTGTGACAGGCACAACTGTAAAGGTAGAAGTTTTGTAACAAAAAGGGGGGAGTAATTAATCTTACATTCCAGGAAGAGAGGACCCTAGGACCACTAAGGAAGAAGACCACAAGTAGAATATGGGACTCCGTCCAGAGAAGCAGCAACACCAGAGATGGAGGCACAGATGATAACATGGAGAGATAGAGCAGCTGGGGGCTCTAGAGTCATGGAAAGAGAAAGTGTGCATGCTGGACTAGGAGGAAGGCTTGCAGAATGTGCCCTTTGGTTGTTTAAATGATTATATATTCCTGAGTGTTTTTGTGTACCTCTAAACAAACAAACAAAGAAACAAAAACAGAGGGAATAGAAGCAAATACTGTTGAATGTCATGCATGGAAGGGATTATAATCACTGTAATGAAACGAAATACAATACCAGTAGCTGTAGTTAGGTGCTATTGAGTCGGTACAGACTCATTGCGACCCTATGTACCCCAGAACGAAACACTGCCCAGTCCTGTGCCAACTTCACAATTGTTCCTATGCTTGAGCCAATGATGCTGCTATCTTGCCAATCAATTCATTGGGGGTCTTCCTTTTTTCTCTGACCTTCCACCTTAGCAAACCTGATATCCTTCTCCAGCAACTGGTCCTTTTTGACAATATTTCTGAAGTATGAGAGATGAAGTTTGGCCATCCTGGCCTCCAATGAATACTTTGGGTGTACTTCTTCCAACACAGATATGTTGGTTTTATTGACAGCCCATGGAACTTTCAATATTCTTCTCCAACACCATAACTCAAAAACATCAATTCTTCTATGGTCTTTGTTATTCACAGTCTAGCTTTCACATGCATATGAGGTTATTGAAAATACCATGGCTTGGGTCAGGCTCACCTTAGTCCTCAAGCTAACATCTTTGCTTTCCAATACTTTCAAAAGGTCTTGTGCAGCAGATTTGCACAGTGGAATATGTTGTTTGATTTCTTGACTGCTGTTTCCAAGAATGTTTATAGTTGATTCAAGAAGAATGAAGTCCTTGACAACTTCAATATTTTATCCCTTGTTAAAAATGTTGTTTATTGGTCCAGTGGTGAGGATTTTTGTTTTCTTTACATTGAGATGTAATCCACACTGAAGGCTGTGCTCTTGGATCTTCACCAGCAAATGCTTTAAATCCTCTTCACTTTCATCAAGCAAGGTTGTATCAACTGCACATCACAGGTTGTTCATGAGTTTTCCTCCATTCCTGATGCCACGTTTTTCTTCATAATATAACCCAGTGCCTTGGATTATTTTCTCAGCATAAAGTTTGTCTAAGTATGATGAAAGATACAACCCTGTCTCACACCTTTCTTAATTTGAAACCATTCAGTGTTCTCATGTTCTGTTCAAACAACTGCCTGTTGCTCCATGTACAGATTCCTCATGAGCACAATAAAGCATTCAGGAATACTCTTCCTTTGCAATGTTGTCCACAGCATGTCATGAGCCACACAATCAAAAGTCTTTGCATAGTCAATAAAGCACAATAGGATGAGTGTAAAACTGATTTTCTCCCACATAAACTGTGACTCAATTCACAAT